CCACCTCCATTTTCTCCGCCACTGTCAGTAGGCCGTACAACTAGGCTGCTCAGGTGCGGTGTCGGCTGGTCCTTCTCACGCGAACCCATATTGCGCTCTCCCTCTCTCTCTGATGCCGCACTCTGTGGAGATTGTCTTTTTTCTGTATGAAACCCTAGTCGGTACCTAGTATTTGGGTATATTGGGGAGATTCTTTCTTTTTCATATTTTACATCACTTTATGTATTAATTACTTATTTTTTAAACTATTTTAAAAATAAAAATTATTTTTATATTAAATAAATAAGAATATTTATAAATGATATTAAATTAAATATTTAAGTTATATATTGTCTTTCGAGAATATATTAATGGATAAACATATGTTATTAATTAATATAGTAAGAAATTAATTTATATTTTTAAATTAGTAAATTTTAATTAAATTAATCATAAAAACTAAGGGGTAGTTTGGTAGGTTGTGTAAAAATAATGCTAAATAAAGTATATTAACAATGCTTGCATTAATAATGTTTGTATTAGTTATGCTTGCATTAATTATATATATAGATTATTTCTTATGTGTTGTTTACTTTGGTGTATTAAAAACAACTACAAAAATATCCTCCACAATTATTTTGAAAAAGATATAAAAGGGGTTTTGAGGGGTATTTATTTCTTTGAAATGTTAATGCATGCATTAAATTCCTTGATATTATTAATACCTAGATATTTCATGGTATTAGTAATACACTCTCTAATATACATTAGAGCATGAAAAAAGTGCATCAAACAAGGTATCACTAATACATAAAGCTAATACATGCATTAATTTTGCTAATACACTCTACCAAAACAATCCCTAAAAGTATCAAACATCATGAAATGCATATTTAACAAAAAGATTAATATTATAAATGTAATGAAATAAAATTATTAAAACTAAAAGTACAAGATTTCTTTCACTCCAATGGTCTTTCACAAGCAACATTAGAGAGCTGAAGTAATTAAGAGTTTGCAACCTCAAGTTGTAGATGAAACATAAAGAGATAGTTGAACTCAAATCAGTTCAACATTTAATAAGCAATTAAACAACATCCAATCAATAAATTAATCATCCATACATTGCACACTCCTAAGAATAGGGAGATAAGCTACTCACAACAAAATGTAATAGAAATATACCAAAATTCTCATCCTTAATAGCTACTTGATTTGAAATTCTAAGAATTCAATCCCCAAAACCTTCAATATCAAGAAGGTTCTACCCAATTTTCAAGTACAAGCTTAATCTCCAATAGTAGGAATATTTTTGTAGAGAGTTAGAAAATTCATAATGGCAAAAAGTATCTCTCTTCAAAAAGTTATTTATATGTTCACAAAACTTTTCATTAAAATGCCCTCTATGTCATTTCGGTGAACTAAGTCGGCGAGGGAGCGCCGAGTAGGTCAATGATGCACCGAGTAGGTTGGCGATGCGCAATCATCATCAATCAGGCTTTCCAACTTTGATTTTTTTTCTTAAGGTGTGTTAAATTTGACGACACCAATGACCTTCGCCAAATCACTTCGGTTATACGCAACCTTCTCCCTTCTATGGCCAAACTTAGATGAACTTGAGGGATGAGAAATATAACCTTCGACAATGTGCTGAGTCAACTTGGGCGATGCTCAACACCGCCTTTGCATATTTCTCCAAATCCTTTGACTTCTTTTGATCTCTTTTATCTTCATATCATCTGTATGCTCTCTTATCTGAAATACAAACACATTTTGATCAGAAAGTACATTGTGGACATTACCTTTGGTGAAATAGAAGCCTAATATGAGTCCAAAATCCTTGATTGTTCACTACTATAAAAATTTCAAAAATAATGGATTGTCTCCTATCAGCGCACAATTTAACGTCACAGCACAATGCAAACTACCTCATCTTTTATGCCTCAACTTTGAAGATATGAATCGCTTCCCCAATTTAAGATCGAGAACATGGTTATTCAATGACACTAATCTTCTTTTGATCTTCAATGAAACTAATCTTCTTTTGATCCCAAAACGTCATATCATGTAATCTCTTTTCATTCTCATCTATGTGAATAACAAATCAACTCATTACCTCACGAAAGGCTATCTTTCGACCAGATTTGGCAACTAGAATTGAACCACAATTTCTCTTTCGAGCAAATTATAGAAATCAAACCTAAATTGCATGCATCAAGTTATTTACCCACTTCAATTGATCTCTTTCGAGTGTCAATTAAAGATCTAGACTAGGATTAAGTTTGAAATCTTAACTCATACATGCTAAATTACTCAAATCTATGGATGAACAACAATAAATTAGAGTAAGGCACAAGACCCAAAATTAAATCAACACCCAATCACACCCCTAGAATCAAGGATTTAGCTAGTCATTATAATAGGAGTAGAAAGTATAATGATGATGTTTCCAGCCATAAAAGAGTTAGAAATTCGCAACAATCTTCAATACCCACTTCAAATTTTACTCATAATCGTCAATTACAAGAGTGTTAGAAAAACTCCTAAAACTAAGTAAAGAGCCTAGTTCTTAATATAAAAAATAAAGTACAGTAGAACACTAAAATTTGGAAATGGAAAAAACTCTCCTCTTTCTCTATCTGGCTACTTATAGTTCGCCAAAAATTAGCCTAAAATTCCATACGTGACTCACTCGATAACGTTAGTCAGCCTTGCCTAACACATTCAGCGATTCGTCGTCTCTGCTCTTTAGCTAGCCCTTCATTTGCTTAAGGCTTCAGGTGTCTGAACCTCAGTTGGCAAACTCGATCGAGTCAGCCTGTCATGTTCGATAGATCACTGATTACTATCATGTTTGCCCATTCAACTTTCTTTTTTACTCAAAAGTTTGTCACCTTTGACGATGGAACTTCTAGCTCACCCAACGACATCGGTGAATTGTTGTTTCAACTTTAGTCTGTCAACTTGCCTTGAATATTTTCAATTGTGAACACTGTCAACTTGGGCGAGCTTTGACCAATTGGGAAATCTGCCCTTTTGGTTAGGCGACTACCCGTTTGGAGTTTGTAATCCTTCCAATGTTTTTGACCTCCTTTTTCACGTATTCATCGTTGCCTTGTCTTTTATCCTTTATAACTTCAAAATGTCAAAATATCATCATATAAGGACACAAATAGGCATTGCGGACACTAATTGATGAACTAAAAAGGCTTCAAGTGAGTGAAAATCTACGACTCATCAATACCCCTAACTTAAACATTTGCTTGTCCTCAAGTAAATCAAGACACAATTAGTTCAACAAGGGTGTCTACAACAATTCTCAAATGTGACTGAACATGCAAGTGTCACCAAAAAACTACTAAAAAGTATATAGAATATTGAAATCATGCTCAAGAAGCCTCAAAAGATGACTGGTCGATATCAATACAAGCTCAAGCTCACTCATGCTCTCTAATAATGCAAAACCATATTGCTTCAAGAAAACCATTTAAGTGCGCTCACATTAAAAAAATGAGCTCTCACAAAGCACATCAACAAAGAAGTTAGGAATCAATACAACTCTCACTCTCTAAAAAAATAATACATGCAAGTTGCATCCCATAGGTTTGCCTATATTATCCAATAATCACACAACCTAGTTTAACCAAGATCTCAATGGTATTTTAAGCTTGAAATGGGGCTAAGGGTAAAGGTATGGTCAATTTGACTTAGTGACTTCACCTTTTCAAAGCATTGTTGTACTCATTTTCATATCTTCTCAAGTTCTTTTCATTTTTTTCACTTGAAAACTCAAACCTCAATTTTTCACTCAATTTATTGGACACCCTTTTTATTTCATCACAACCTTCTTTTTATTTCATTTTCATGTTTTTGCTCACTTTTTTTTATAAGGAGGGGTTCCTTTTTTTTTGCTATAAACTTTAAGGTTGAATCTCACTTTTCTCTATTCTTTTTCACTTGAATTTCTTTTCTCCTTCCTTTCCACACCCCAACTTAGGATTTTGGCCTAAGTTGGCTATTCAAACAAATCAATACTTAGAAAAGGGTTTATTAGTGAGAAGTTAAGAACATATTTGGATCAAGAGTTTTCAACAAGGATGACAACAAATGATTTAGGCTCAAATGATGCCAAGATGGTTGCACACTCTCAGTAGGTAGTCACAAAAGGTATGAAGTTTTGGGTTCCCTCTAAAAATTTGTGTTCAAGATCATTTCTTGCATTCACCAAGGCTAGACAATTAGATTAACAAGGAAAATTCTAGGAATTAACAAGCATGCTTTTAAGTATGACCTCACCACACATGACACTTTAAACACAATCATTTAACACAACTCTACAAAATCAAAAGACATGTGTGTGATGTTCATTGCAAGGCTCACATCAATACGCAGCTAGTCAACACAAAAATAAAAAAGATCATTCGCAAGTAAAGCAACACTGATTTTCTCATGTAATATCAACACACGATACATCTCTCATCATGAGTACTATCCAAGACATCAATACTGAACAAAATCAATCCTGAAATTTCATCGATGAAAACACAAGCCATAACTCCAAAAATATAAGCCAATGGTTAGAGAGCCAAAATGGGATTAAAACCAACCAAATATCATAAATAAAACAAAAATACTACAATATCTCAAAATAAAATTTAAATAACAAAATACAATCCAAAAAGGGGAATGTAGGCACATGTGCCCTCACCCCACAAAAAAATATTAAGCAGCGTCTTCAATGCTATCAAAATGTAAGTGCGGGAGGAGAATGATTGAAAGGTCCCCCTGACAGGCTATGCCTCTAAACAAATCTAATTCTAAGGCTCGGAGAGGATGACATTATGTCGGTATTAGTACCTCACACAACTGATACAGAAGGCAGCAATGTAGCATCAACCAGGGCATCATTGTATGGCACATCGGGAGGAGGAATAGTAGAGTCTTAACCATGGAAGTCTCTAAATTCACATGCACTGTCGACTCTTCTATCTCCTGCAGCTTTGCTAAAGTCTCAGCAATCACCCTTTCACCGTCTCTCTGAAACTCATCTTCATTAGTCCTCTAGGCTACATCATCAACATTTGTTGGGTGATGAGCTACCCTACCAGGTGCGTCAGTTCTCGGCTTAGTATGAGGCACAACCCCAGGCATTTCAAGCAAGGAAACCTCACCCCACAACATCGAAATATCAATAGACCTTAGTTAGTCCAC